AAGCTGTGGACGAAATTGAGGCCCGGCATGATCTCATTCGCGCGGCTCTGAAAGAGAAGTTTAGTGACAGCGAATACTCAAGTCGGAGTTGCATGGAGATACTGAAAATCTTTACGTGGCACAACGCAGTATCCTGGATGGCTACGCTGAACATTTCCGGAAGCCAAACGTATCTCCATCCGTCGACGTCGCATCAAGGTCGTCGCTGCCGCGCATCAAGTTGCCGCCGTTTTCTGGCGCCTACGCTGATTGGCCGTCATTTCGTGATCTCTCCTGTCCGTTGTGAGCAGCAATTCCATCTCAAACATCGAGCGTCTTCACCACCTCCGCTCGTGTTTGACAGGTCAAGCTGAAAATTGATAAGATCACTACCTGTCACAAGTGACAATTACGATCGCGCTTGGGCAATCTTGAACAAGCATTACGACAACAAAAGAGAATTAATCCGCTCCAACTTTGCCACGTTTACCGCCGTGCCAAAGATGAAGGGAGATACCGCCGAGGAGCTGAGCCGCATCCACAACGCTGTCACCGCCGCCATCAATGCACAGGAGAGTATTGGACGTCCTATCAACTCGCACGGGATGGACCTGTTCAATCACCTGGTCATCGAATTGTTCGACGCCCGCACTCGTCTCGAATGGGAGTCAGCCACGTCAGACTCCACCGAACCACCACAGAACGAGGCACTTCTCGACTTTATTAGTCGACGGGTATTGACCCTCAACGCTGCACGACCGAGGAGTGTCACAAAAGGACCTGGAGAGGCATCGCGATTCGCCAAAGCGCACGTCACCAGACATCAAGGCACAGATTCGCTCATTGTGCACTGTGTCGTGAAAAACATACACTGATGACCTGCAAGGAGTTCAAGGCCAAGACCGCGGTCGAACGGAAAACATTCGTGGAGACCAACCGACTGTGCTTCAACTGCCTGGGCAATCACTTCTTGTCACGGTGTCAATCGAAGAAGAATTGCCTCACTTGCAACGCACGACACCACACCATGCTGCACGGGCATCCACATCATCACCGTCCGCTGAGGCCACTTCACTTGCCACCACACTGGTCACCTCACAGCAATGTGAGAGTCACAAGGCCGTCCTTCTTGCAACTGCCCGCGTCAAGGTCGCGGACCGCTACGGATCACCACACGAGGTTCGAGTCTTGATCGACCAGTGCTCCGAGGTGTCCATCATCTCTGAAGCGCTGGCTCAACGCCTTCGTCTTCCTCGAGCTTCAACGAATCTGTCCATCTTTGGCATCGGAGGGACTCGCTCTGGATCGGCTCGTGGCAAGGTCACCCTGGACATCACATCCGACGTGACCAACACCGAGCTTCGCGTGGTCGCCTTTGTGTTGCCTCGCATCTCACTACAACAAGGCACCGCTCAACGCGAGAATTGCAGCTGGCCTCACATCCAAGGACTCCGGTTGGCCGACCCGCGGTACCTGGATGACGACCCTGCGGAGCTACTTCTTGGTGCAGAGGTCTACTCGTTAATTCTTGAGGAAGGCCTTCGCAAGGGCGACTCACGCATGCCGATCGCCCAGCAGACCAGCTTGGGATGGATCCTGTCCGGAGGCTACGACTCAGCAGTCACCGACGGACATCGCCGCACGTTTCAGTGCACCGCCGACAACGACCTTGCTGACCTGGTGCGACGATTCTGGAGCAGGAACGCGAGCCAGCAGCTGGGATCGTGCTCACCGCCGACGAGCCAGATGCGAGGACCTCTATGTGCGCACAGTCACACGCACATCCAGTGGAAGATACGTGGTAAGGCTGCCATTTGCCTCACCGCCGACATCACTCAGCGAGACTCGTCGACCTGCAGAGCGCCTCCTGGAAGCGATGGAGCGGAAGGGAGCCCGTGATGCTCGGTTCGGTGATCTCTATCGAGACTTCATGGATGAATACGAAAACCTGCAACACATGGAGAAGGTTAGTACGTTTACGACAGGTCTGGTCCCAGGTGCTACTTACCGCATCACGGGGTCCTCAAGGAGTCGAGCACGACCACGAAGCTCAGGGTTGTGTTCAACGGCTCCCAACGCACACGGTCCGGAGAGTCGCTGAACTCGCACCTCCTCACTGGAGCTAACCTCTTGCCAGCACTCGCTGACGTCTTACTCCGTTGGCGTTGGCATCGGTACGTTTTCGTCACGGACATCGAGAAAATGTACCGACAAATTCTTGTTCATCCGGAGGATTGTCGCCTGCAAACCATCCTGTGGCGCCACAACAGCTCAGACAACATCTGCGAGTACGAGTTGAAGACCGTGACCTACGGACTGGCGTGCGCACCCTTCCTCGCCATCAGGACGCTTCACCAACTTGCTGCAGACGAAGAGGCACGATATCCACGCGGAGTCAGGGCGCTGCGACAAGACTGTTACGTCGACGACGTGGTCACCGGTGCTGACAGCCTGGCGGATGCCATCAAACTCCAACAGGAACTACAGAGTCTCTGCATGGCGGGCGGGTTTCCTTTGCGAAAGTGGGCTGCCAACAACCAGCAGGTGCTCACCGGAATTCCGCCGGAACATCGGCTTCAACGCGGACCGCGCTCGTGGGAAGGAGAGAGCCACGCCACCCTGGGTCTTCGATGGCATCCTCAAGGGGATTGGTTCTCCTTCACCATACGTCCGCGTTCAACCACCGACCTCACGAAGAGACGAGTCTTGGCCGAGACAGCTCGACTATTCGATCCGATGGGCTGGCTAGCGCCTGTCGTCATCCGAGCCAAAATTCTGATCCAGTCTACGTGGCTTCAACGGCTGGATTGGGACTCTCCGCTGCCTGATCAGGACGCACACCGCTGGAGACAACTGCTGAATCAACTTCCGTTGCTGGATCACATCCGTGTGGATCGTTGGCTCAGCACCGGAGATGACCAGTCGCAACTGCAGCTCCATGGGTTTGCCGATGCATCGGAGCGAGGATACGCCGCCGTCGTATACATCCGCAACGCTGCAACAGAGAGAAGACATCAATTAATCTGCTGATGGCAAAATCGAAGGTCGCACCAGTCAAGCAGGTGTCGTTACCTCGATTGGAGCTTTGTGCCGCCGCATTACTCACCACGCTCATGTTGCATGTACGCACTACCCTCGGCTTGGCTGCTACGCCGGTGCACCTGTGGTCCGACTCCAAGGTCACTCTTCACTGGATTCGCGGACACTGCACCCGCTGGAAGACCTTTGTTGCCAACCGAGTGTCGCAGATCCAGACCCTGCTTCCAGACGCTCATTGGAGACACGTCGCCGGACGAGAAAACCCTGCAGATTGGTGCATCGCGTGGTGTTACACCTGAGGACTTACGCAATCATAAACTGTGGTGGACAGGACCTACCTGGCTGTCAGGAGACGAGGCTGCCTGGCCTGGTGCAGACATCGACGTCCCAGAGGATGACCTCCCTGAGCAACGAGTCACCAGCCTGGTAGTCAAGGCGCCAGTCATTACCGAACCGGACTTCTTCTGCGGTTCCCGACGCTGCAACGGCTGCTGCGAGTCACTGCGTGGTGTCGTCGATGGCTCAACCCGTGTGAGACGTGACGCCAGACCTGGCTGTCCATTGCAGCCTGACGAGCTGGACTCCGCGCTGTTTCGATGGCTGCGAGTGGTGCAGGCGCTCCATTTTCCGACGGACGTAGCCGCGGCCTCTGCTGGACGCACTACTCCACCGCGAAGCCACCTGGTAAAGTTGAGTCCGTTCCTCGACGATCAAGGCGTACTGCGCGTCGGAGGACGTCTCAAAAACTCTCAACTTCCGCTCGACGAGAAACATCCGATGATCATCCCGGCGGCATCCTGGCTGACTCGGCTGGTGATCGATTCCTGCCATCGACGAACACTGCACGGGGGTGTGCAGCTGACACTCGGCCTGCTCCGCCTGCGCTTTGGGTGCCTCGAGGAAGAACCGCCGTCAAGCAGCAGCTACATCGATGCGTTACCTGCACTCGATGGCGTGCTGCCACGCCACAGCCTCAGATGGGTAAACCTTCCTCGGGACCGAGTAACGCCAACCCGACCGTTCCTCAGCACCGGCGTGGATTACGCAGGACCCATCCTCCTTCGGACCAGCAAGGGACGTGGACACCGTGCGCATAAAGGGTACATCGCAGTCTTCATCTGTTTCTGGTCGAAGGCCACTCACTTGGAGGTCGTCTCCGACTACACCTCCGAGGCTTTCATCGCCGCTCTGCACCGCTTCGTCTCCCGCAGGGGCCTCTGTGCTGAGATCTACAGCGACTGCGGCACGACATTCATCGGGGCAGATCGTACGCTGCGAGGTCTCTTTGATGCAGCGACAGCCGAAGGTCATCGTATCGTCCTTGCCGCCACCGCTCAAGGAATCCGCTGGCACTTCAACCCGCCAGCGGCCCCGCACTTTGGTGGTCTTTGGGAGGCTGCAGTGAAGTCGACCAAGTTCCACCTCCGTCGGGTGATCGGCGAGACCACCCTCACGTTCGAGGAGCTGAGCACACTCCTCGCCAGATCGAAGCTTGTCTTAATTCTCGTCCATTGCAGGCACTCTCAGATGACCCAGAGGACGTTCTGCGTTGACCCCGGTCACTTCCTCGTCGGGGCGCCGCTACTTGCTGTGCCGGAACCGTCATTGACAGGGCAGACGGTACCCACTTGTCACGCTGGCGTCATTTGCAGCAGATGAGGGATCACTTCTGGCAGCGATGGTCATCCGAATATTTGCACGGACTAGCCTCACGCACCAAATGGCTCAAGGGAGAAGCTGCACCCCACGTCGGTGACCTCTGTCTCGTGCGCTCCGAGCTCACCCTACCGAGCCGATGGCCACTGGCTCGCATATCGCGACTTCACCCCGGGGACGATGGGATTGTACGCGTGGTGTCAATCCGAACGGCCACGTCCGAGCTTGTGCGCCCACTCGTCAAGCTTGTTTTCCTCCCGGGCGTGAACGACGCACCTACACCGCACACTGACACTTCGTAACGTCACACAATCATCACTTCATGCATCATAGCATCTGTCGCACGTCACTCATCTCATCCACCACCGCACAAAAAGAAAAAAATTATTTCGTTATCACCGCTCACTGCATTACACACTCGCCGTTCACATCAACCACGCGTTGTCACCGGATCAGCTGATTATTTCACACCACGCGTTTACCACGTGCTCTCATCGGCTCAGCTGATCGATTCACACCACGCGATCACCACGTGTATTTCGCCGCGCCGGCGCGCTCGCCCCACCATCGATCGCTATCGGAATGCGATCCGCGCCGGAACCACCACCAATCTTTGTCACGTTGCGACAAGGCGGGCGGGAATGTTTGAGATGTTAAGTAAAACTTTTGTAAATTCTAGAATTTTCCATCCGCGTCAATAACAAAAGTCACGGTCGTTTTGTATGTTTGTCACGGTAAAAAACCTGTCATAAATTAAACTTGTCATCTAAAAACATTCTTTACACACAAACAATTAGCAGTTTCGCAACCGTTTTACCGGATACTTTTCGCGGTACAAGCATGCGCAAAATTGCCACGCGGCCTCGATCACCAATTAGAAATAGCGAGCAGCCGCGCGCGCATGGCAAAACGCGAGGTCGTTGCGCATCTTAAAAAAGCGGCCAATAATGAGCTGTGCCCTCGAGTCACCTCGAGCACAATTCAAATTGCTCGCAATAATTGGCGCTTTCCGAAAAAGTGGGTTTTCTTCGGAAACCCATAAGAGAGAGCTCGCGCCCGAAATCGGGGCCTTATCGCTTTTTCCGCCGTGAACCGCATAAACGCAACCGCAGATTTGTAAAACCGCAGAAATTCGTTGACAACCGCCGCTTATTCCGCACATTGATTTGAGTTCGATTTTCTCTGTAAATTAATTAAGATTGTAAAAGTTTGTTAAAGTGTTCGTTTTCTAATTGTTTTATAATATTAAAGTCAATTTAATACAAAGAGTGACTCATCCTTTCGTGCAGTGCGATCCTTTCTCTCGCAGCGCGTTCGTGAACATATTTTTGAAGACTTTTGAAGAATATATTTGTAAATTCTAGAATTTACAAAAGTTTTACTTAACATCTCAAACAACATTCATATCTTTAATAATGTTTCTGTATTGTTCACTAAGCGTCGGTAAGAATGGGATGCAAAAATACGAGATTTTTTCAATGTGGTCATTCTTGTTGTAAGAATATTTCGTTTATCTATTAAATGTTTAGTCTTTAATTTATTGTGTCAGAAATCAATTTCAGAAGATAATTATTTTTAAGTAATGTTTTGATTACTAAGTCTAAATTTTTTTTATGAAATTCTGGATTTGATACTAAGAAGGCTCGATCAACTAGCCCCATTATCGTACCTCATATTTGACTTATAGGATGTTGAGACAGGAAGTTTAGATATCTTCCAGAAAACGTTTTTTATGGTACCAATCAAATATAATGTTATTTTTAATATCAATGTTAGGTCGAGAAAATTAATTTTATTATTGTCTTGATTTCAAGAGTAAACTGGATTCTTTCATGAAAAGAATTAAATAGATTTAATGTGTGATCTATGAAATCCGATGGAGCAGCCATTATTATATCATCAACATTAAAAAAATTTTCTAAAGAGCTGTTATAAATTATATTAATTTAATGTCAGGCTGAAAGATGCGTTTTGTTAATTCATTTTTTGATCTTGTTAAATTTCGTTTTGCTTTGGAAAATGTTAAATTATTCAAATTCTAGATCAAATTTCGTAAAATAATTATTATCAACAAACTAAGAATTAATTTTTTGCGTAACTGTCTGAAATATGATGTCACTCCGCCGTATATTAGTTGTTTATTGAAAAACTATGTAAATAATTTTACGAGCCGCAAATCAACACGTAATTATAAATTCTCAAAAAGAACATTTTTTAAGAGACTGATACGCTATAATACATAGACTACCTTTTTTTTCTTTACGTGGTGGAAACCTGCGACAGGTCCCCATGCCTTTCGGGTAAGGAACATAGAGTATGTGGGATTCTTCTCGTCCATACCGGGATGATCTAGATCATCCCGGTAGGGACCACGACAAAGGACCTCACTAAAACCACCATGATGGCCTGGCTCGGGTGGTTAATTGGGAGCCCTCCGGGAACGAGCAATAGCATTATTTCTGGAGGGCCCCTCACCAACCTTTCCCATCGGAGTCCTGTTGGACCCCTTGTACCTCCCTTTGAAGGAGAGAGGCGGCCGTACTCGTGGTGTTTGCGACGCAAGGGGCCACACTCTCACGTCGTGCCCTCCCTAAAAGTTAGGGGAGCGGGGTCATGGCTCGAGACACCCGCTCGAGCCATGGCCCCCTGCCCCCTTGATTGAGACTCCTCCCAGCACCCGTGGGTATCTGGGTTCGGTCTTCAATCGAGGGGGCCCGCTCCAGAGGACTATCGCCTGAAGGGGGGCAACCCTCCTTTACAACAGCGGTTTCCTCCGACCGGAAACCCTTCGGCTTCCGGCAAGGGGACTCCCGCTGTCGCATCTCGTCCCGGAGGAAAGCACGTGCAATGGATTGCCAAACCCGTTTGCGCTCGTCTCTCCTGTGCTCCTCTTTGAGATCCCGGGATGTAGCTCCCTCCTTTCCCCTGTGAAGTTAGGATTTGGCCCTCATCCCGGATCTCTTGCCGAGACTCTCCCCCCCCCAAGTAAAGTGCCTCGGCTGGTGGTCGGGGGCGCGGGCGTCTACCCCCCCTTTCCCCCCCCCCGCCAACGCACTTAGATGAGTGCTCGGCGGGCGGGCAGGACGCCACGCTCCCGACCTCGCTCCTTCTCGTCCTTGTTTGTGAGGAGTCACGTGCAATGGGAGATAAAAATCCTCCTTGTGACCCCTCCCCCCTTCCAATTTTTTTTTTCCTCAGCTTCCTCCCAGAGATATTGGAAGGGGGGGGCAAGTCTCCCTTTTAATGTTAATCGTCGTCAACAACTAGGTGACGGGATGGCCTCTTTCCTCTTCTTCTTCTTGGCTCTCTTCCGCCACCCATTGCCGCATCTCTTTCCCTTTCTTTCTCTTTCCGCCGTTTCCTTCTGCAACATTACTCTGCCGCAGATGGAAACCATCGCCTTCTAATTTTCTTGGCTTTCCAGCATCTTTTGGACGATGCCGGAGAGCGACAGATCGTTCCCTATTTTTTCCATAAGGAGACGGCGCTCTTTCTCCCACGCTGGACAATGTTCCAGCGTGTGCTGCGCCGTGTCCCTGTCGTCCTCGCAATGATTGCACTGTGTGGTGCGCTCTCTCCCGATACGACACAGGTATTCCCCAAAACACCCATGTCCGGAGAACATCTGCGTCATGTGAAATGACATCCTGCTGCCACGCGGCCTGTCCATTCATTTCTCAATTACAGACCTTATGGCCTCGACAACCCTATCTCCCAATCTTGTGGAAGGAATGTGGTTCAATGCCTCCCCCTACTCAACAATTATTTGTTGTCGGGCTTGGTGTCTGACGATCCCCCGGACCCGGTTGGTTATGACTGTTCCTAGCCCACGGAGCTCCTTTATGCGCTCGTACGCTCTTTTATGCGCCCGAGCTACGAGCTCCACGGCAGACCCGCCAGGACCGAGGCGGCTGCATGCGCCACGGTTCTATACCCGCGGACGACGCGTATGGCCACCTTTCTTTGTACTCTCCTGAGTACATCCTTGATATGTCGAGTGGTTACCGTCTCGTCCGCCCAAACTGGTGCCCCGTATAGGGTCACCGAATTTACCACTCCCGCATACAGCCGTTTAGCTCGATTATCTGGCCCATCCAGGTGGGGCATTAGGCGACTAAGTGCCGCCGCAACCCGGTCTATTTTTTCCGCCAGACGATCGAGATGATCGCCAAATCTCCAAGAGCCGTCTAGCCACAGTCCTAGATATTTAATATTGGGCCTCAGCTAGACTGAGATGCCATCGTCCATCGACCTCGTCCAGCAGACATATGGGTCTAAATGCGGAAGGCGTCTCATCCGTCTTGCCCCTTTTTGGGAGAAGGACCAAATTAGCCCTCTCCCATACTGGGGATTATTCTCCAGCCCGTAAGCAGTCCGTATACAGTCGCTTAATTGGTCCTGTCAAGTACGACAAGGCATACAGCCAGACTCTGCCAGGAACGCCATCAGGTCCAGAGGCTTTATTTTCCCTGAGCCTTAATCTTTTGGCGATCCTGTTTAACTCAGTGTCAGACATCTCAAGATCCTTCTCCCACTGAAAGGGTTTCCGTATAATTCAGGAACCCTCTCCTTTACTGGAAAGAGGGTCGACAGCACCCTGTCTAGTGCTTCGGCGTCCAACACCTCCGTCGCAGGAGGCGTCCAACTTTTAAGCTTCTTTATGACAATCCTATATGGACGCCCCCAAGGGTCTGCATTGAGGTCCTGGAGCTGTTCATACCAGGTTCTCGCCTTTGCCATCTTTTTTTTTTTTTTTTTTTTTGACGCTGGGGAAACCGTCATGGTACCACGCACCTCCGGGTAGAGGTGCGAGTTATGTGGGACTCCTTGTTTCCCTTGATCGAGCCACTCGTGGCTCGACCAGGGAGCCCAAGACCTACCGCACTAAAACCCCAGCAAGTGTCCTTCCTGGACGTTGGATGGGGGGTGCCGAGGATGCTGGTTACCCATGCCGTCTCGGAAAACCACCCCCGCCAATTAATCTCCGGGAAGCTGCCTCGACCTTGCGCCGAGACTCCTCCCCGATCGCGCAGTCAATGACTGCGCGGTTCCCTCGCGGTTGCGGCACGGGGCGATACCGACCCCATGCCGCGCCCTCCCAAAAAGTTTGAGGGGCAGAGCCATCGCCCCCCGCTCCCCTGGTGAGCGCATTTCCCTGTTAAAGTCCGAATGACTATAACTATATTATATTAAATATAGTTTTAATAATAAATTAGTAAGTCGGCTATTATACAATCATTTGAGAAACGTTCTTACGCTCTCGCGAAGCGCTTATCGCGAAAAGACGCAACGCAATAAAATATAAGCGTTACACCGAAAACCGCGGATCGCAAGCAAAGAATCAACTTTTTTTTTTTTTTTTTTTTTGACGCAGTGGGAATCCTCATGGATACTACCGCTCTCCGGGAAGAGAGCGGATGGTTATGTGGGACTTCTTGTTCCCCTTGGCCGATCCACGAATGGATCGGTCAGGGGGCCCAAGACATACCTCACTAAACCCACTGCGGATACCTTCACGGGCGTTAATGGGGGACGGCCAGGATGCTGGTTTCCCATGCCGACTAGCCGCCCCCCCGCCTAATCCTTTCTTGGGAGGGTGCCGCTGAGGGCGACACTCCCCCCCCCCCGCGAATTGCATTGTGCGGGGGTCCTCGCGGTTGCGACGCAGGGCGATATCGACCCCACGTTGCGCCCTCCCAAAGAGTTTGGGGGGCGGGGTTGCGGCTCGAGTATCCCGCTCGAGCCGCCACCCCCCGCCTCCGAAGCGGTGCTCCCTCCCCCTCCCGAAGGGAATGGGGATTTGGCATTCGCCCCGGAGACCCTCTCCAGAGGGTTCCTCTCAGAAGAAGAGGAACCCCCTCCGTGGACGGCGTTGCCCTCCCACCGGTGCCCTGTGGCTCCCGGTGAGAGGGCCCCGTGCGTCACGTCTCCGTCATAGAGGGGGGCCCAGGCGCCCCAAAAGACACGTGGTCCCCCCTCGGTCCCCCCGATTACGGCTCTCTCCGCTCCCTTGAGAGTTAGGATTCGGCCGCAATCAGGGGGATTTCCCGTTCGGGGGCGCGGCCGCGCCACCTCGCCTAGGCAAGGCGGCGCACCCACGCCCCCGATTCTCGAGAGGTCTCTGGGGGGAGTCCAGGGACTAGTTGTCCCCCCCCAGCGACCTCATCCCGCGTCGTATGGCGACGCGGGTGTAAAATTGGCGGACCCTTCCCGCCCCCCGCCACCACGGGAGAGTAGTCTCCCCAATGGCGAGGAAAGAGAGTGCCCGCCCCCCCCTCCGTGGCGGTCTCCTGCGCCACCGGGGACAAGCCTCCCCCCGATTCCCGTCACCACAGACGAGCGAGCTCGACGATGGCGGGAAGAGGGGAGGCCTATCCCCGCTCCCACTATTTCCTCCATTATCGGGGGCGCACCCCCCCCCCCCCGATTCCCGCCACCACAGACGAGCGAGCTCGCCGATGGCGGGAAAAAAGGGGGCTCATCCCCGTTTCTACCGTCTCCGCTTCCACCGAGGGCGCGCCCCCCCCCCTGATTCCCGCCACCACAAACGATCAAGCTCGCCGGTGGCGGGAAAAGAGGGGGTCTGTCCCCTTCCTCCTCGTCTTCTTCCTTCTCCCCTTTGTCCGAGGGCTGGGAGTTGCCTCTCCCAGCCCTCTCCCTCTCTCTCTCCGCCTTTTCCTTCTGCGACATAACTTTCTCGCAGAAGGAGGAGAACGCCATCCAGACCTCTTTTCTCGCCACCATCTCCTTTACTAGAGATGGCAGCGAGAGATCTCCCCCCCCCCCCGATAGCTGCCTCCAACTCTCTCCTCTCCTCCGATCAGGCCACACACTCCTGGAGTGTGTGGCCGGCCGTGTCCCTCCTTTTGTTGCAATGGTGGCAACGTGTCGTGCGCTCCTTCTTAATACGACACAGATACTCACCGAAGCATCCGTGCCCGGTGAGTACCTGCGTCATTCGGTAAGAAACACTCCCCTTGGCCCTGCCTAGCCATTGTTCCAGGCAGGGCCGGATGGCCCCGACGGTCCACTGCCCCGGCAGCTGCGGGTTTTGCAGCATGCCGGACCAGCTTTCTATCAATTGCCGTCGGGTGTGGGTCCTCAATGTACGCCGGACACCTGTTGTGACGGCCGTTCCTTGCCTCTGTAGCCCGCGTGTACGCTTGTATACTTCGGCGTACATGCGGGCTAATAACTCTATAGGGGGTACTCCTGAGAGTACCCCCACGGCCGCCCAGCTTACCGTACGGAACCGCCGGCATATACGGTTGGTTACCCGCCTTTGCAGCTGATGCAACGCATTTCTGAGTTTGCGGGTGGCCTCTACCTTTTCTGCCCATACGGGGGCTCCGTACATCACCATAGAATGTATGGTTCCGGCGTAAAGTCGGCGAACCCTTTCGTCAGGTCCCCCGAGGTTTGGCAGCAGGCGGCATAGTGCCATCGCTGCCTTGTTTACCCTCGGGGTCAGTTGGCGGAAGTGCTCGCCGAAGGCCCACTTGCCATCCAGGTGGAGACCCAGGTATTTAATTTGGGTCCCCACCTTTATTGGGGTGTTTCCCACCATTATCTGGGCTTTAGAAGGCGCCCCATGAGAGCCGTCATGGAAGAAGACGGCCTCTGTTTTTTGGGGCGCCACCTTCAGTCCAATTCCTCCTATAGTGCGCATGACACGCGCCACCGCAATATTCGCACGCGCCACTGCTTCCCCCCAAGTGTCCCCCCCGGCCATGATTAGCGTGTCATCTGCATAGCAGATGACGTCACAGCCAAAGGGAAGGGCAGTCCTCAGGGTCACGTCGTAGGCAAGGTTCCACATGAGGGGGCCCAAAAATGACTCCTGCGGAACCCCGCACGACACCTCGACCTTGCGCTCTTCGGCGTTCTGGTCTACATAGACCAGACTTCTGTCCCGGAAGTAGTCCGACACGACTGACATCAGGTAGGGGAGTACCCTGTGATATTTCAGGGCATCCCCCACCGGTGTCAAGGCAGGGTGTTGAAGGCATTTGAAATGTCTAACAAGACTGCCAGCAACACCCCGCCTTCCCTCACGACGGCCTCCGAGACCGAGCGGACACGCAAGATTGCGTCAACGGTTGACCGCCCGGCCCGAAAGCCGTACTGTCTGTCGTCTAGGTTCGGACCATCCCGGGACAGGTGATGGACGAGGCGGGCAGCGATGATTCTTTCCAGAATCTTTCCCGCCTCGTCCAACAGGCATATCGGCCTGTACGCCGAGGGCGAATCCCTAGGTTTTCCTTCCTTAGGGATTAGGACTATGGATGCCCTTTTCCACTCGCGGGGGAAGGAGCCCTCCCTGAGGCACCCGTTGTACAGGCGCCTCATGGGCTCGACCAGTTCCTTGGAGGCGAGGGCCCAGATTTTTCCGTGGATGCCGTCAGGTCCAGGGGCTTTCCCCTTTTTGATCCTCTTGACGGCATCCCGGATTTCCCCTCCCGTGACCCCCATCTCTGTTTCGTCCCAGTCCTGCTCCCCGGCCTGTATCGGGCTTTGTGTGCCCGACGCCCGGGGGAACAGGACCTCTATGATATTTTTTACGAGATGGGGGTCCAACGACTCCGTTAGTGGTGCCGTCCCTCCTCTCAATTTATTGAGAACTATTTTATAGGGACGGCCCCACGGGTCGTCGTCTAGGGAGGAGATCAATTCCTCCCAGGCCCTCGCCTTCGCCTGTTGGATTCGCGCGTAGGTCGTCTCTTCTATGTTTATAGGCGTCCCACGCGTCCTCCAATCCTTCTGGGTCCAGTAACGCGTGCTTCTTCCTCCTTTTTATCTCCCTCCTTGCGTGGTCGGTGGACCGCCTTAGCTCGGCGATGTCCTCCGACCACCAGTACGCATGCTTCGGGGACCGGGCTTTGACCTTGGGCATGGCTACGTCGCATGCTTGGGTTACGACGCTTGTTAGCCATGCCCTATGCTCTTCTAAATCCCCGGTCCCCTCTTCCCTTCCTATCATGGCGGCATTAATTGCCGCCATAAACATGTCCGTGTCCAGCTTCCTGAGAGCCCATCTTTTGGAGACCGCCTCTCTTTGTAGGCGACGCTCTGCGACCTCCTTTGTGGTGATGGCGACGGAGATCTCTATGTATCTGTGGTCAGATAGAGTTTCGATCTCCGTCGCCACCCTCCACTTCTTAACCATCCTTGCTGCAGGGCGGGTCATCCATGTGAAATCTACAATTGACCCGCCCTGTCGGCGCACACATGTCTTTTCGCTCCCCAAATTGAGGAGCGTCAGGTCGCATTGCGCCGCCCACTCTTCAACTTCATCACCCCGCCAGTCGGTCTGCGGGGAACCCCATGCCGTTGATTTGGCATTGAAATCCCCCGCGACCATTATCGGTTTGGGGTGATGACAGGCAATCTCCCTCTCTAGGATCCTCAACCTCCCGCCGAATTCGTTGTTTTTTAAGCTCGGCGGGAGGTATACCCCTATAACGATGATGGCCCCCAGGAAGCCGCCACGTATCCCTCGCCCGCCCCTATGAGATCCAGGGGGGGGAGTCGGGCGTATTCCTCCTTACTATTGCGGCGGAGCCGTCGGTACTTTTTACCCAGTTTTTATTGGGTACTTTGTACGGCTCCGCCACAATGCCTAAGCCGCAGGATCTCTCCGCCATAGTATGGACGAAGAGATCCTGGGCGTTCCTCGCATGGTTGAGGTTGGCTTGGAGTATTCTATCGGCCATCCTCAACCATTTTCGTCCTGGTTCCTCCTTCCGACGCTATTTCCATAGCGTCCGCGTTCTCCCCCCCCCCCCCAGTTCTTCCTTGAGGCGCTGTCTTTTTCCAACGCTTTGGTTGCTGGAGGGGGTTTCTCTTTCTTCAGCTATTTTTCTTCCTCCCTTAGCTCTGGGGGGCCTTTGTTCTTTGGGTCTCTCCTGGGTGTTTTGCGTGGGAGAGACACTTTTCAAAGGCTCCACCTCCATTCTTGTTGCCCCGGATTCTTTTGGGGCTCCCATCGCTTTAGCTAGTGGGATGCTCCTTCTCCCTTTCTGCACCAGTTTGCAGGCCTTTCCCCCCGTCCTGTGATTGGCGGGGAGGTTCTTATCCCCGCAAACCGCGCAGTGTACCGGGGCTTTGCACGTCTTGGCCTCATGGCTTTCCTGACCGCAGCGGTAACATTTACCACTGCGGTCCGCCTTGTTTGGGCATCGCGCTCTGACGTGGCCACCCTCCAGGCATTTATAACACTGGAGGAGGCGGTCTTCAAGGATTTCCACCTTTGCCTGTGCCCACCCAACTTGTATCTTGGCCTTTTTGGCCACTATATTTGCAGCCTTGATTGGGCATCTGACCCAGGCCATCTTGATGCCGTTGGGCGTTGTTTTTATTTCGCCCACGCTTACTTCTTCCTCCTCACAGTTGCCACCTTTTGCGATGGCTTCTCTGACTTCCGAGGGGGTGACCGACTCGTCCAGCCCCCTTATCCTAAGCTCTGCTGTCTTAGTTGGGCGCTGGATTCTCACCCCCTCTTTACCGACAAGGGCTTGTTTCAGCTTCAGAGCTAGTTTATCTGCTAGCTCTCCGCTGTTCTTGCCGGGGACCTTGTATATCAGGGCTCCGGTGATTGCTCTCCGGATCCTGACTCCCTCCTTTATGCCTATTTCTTTTAGGCTTTTCAGGCCGATTTTTTGTCGGGCCTCTGACATCACCTCTTCGTATTTCCCCGGGGGGCAGGTGATGGTTATCGCAGCTGTGTTAGGTTCTCTCCGTTTTTTTGGAGGTCCAGGCCGCTGCTTTCCATTTTGGGCTGTAGCAGGGATGGGAGCCCCAGCCTTTGGTGCTGGGGGTTGTTTGGTCCCTTTTGCCTTCTGTGCCGTCCTTCTCGATACCACCGTTGACCACTGTTGTTGCTGTTGCTGCTGTTGTTGTGGTTGTGGTGGGGCCGATTTTCTCATTTGGGGCTTACCTCCCTTCTTTTTCTGCTCTCCCTTCCCCCCTGTTGTTTTTGGCATTTGGGGGAGGATTTTTACAGAGACCCTCTCTATTTTCTTTACCCTGGGCAGGGCGGGTCTTGCCGGTGGGTTTAATGTTGTTGCCGGGACTGGTCCTGCCTTTTCTTTTGGGTGTGTAACTCCCTTTGGCTTTTTTGTCGCATTCTTTTGCGCTCTCTCAGCCTCCTTTTTTTGGTTATAGCTGGGAATCGGGTTGCCCAGTCTTTGGTCCATGATGCGTTCGCATATGCCCTCCATCATGGCAATTAGTGCGTCCTGTTTTTGCCTCTCCTCGTTCTTCTCTTGGGAGGGCTGTTTAGTGATCTTAATCACTTTTCCTCTTGCTTGAGGGATCGGGGCTTGTTTCTCCCTCTTTCCTCTTCCTTTCTTTCCCTCTCTAAGTGGGGGGAAATCCTTTTCTTGGAAGATCTCCGATCTCCAATTGTCTACCTCCATTTTCTCCGTCTCGGGAACTTTTGGGGGGACCCTATCCTTGGATAGAGGTGTCCTTCCATTGGTTCCTCCCCCCGGGTTTTGGAGGGCTCCCCACTTGTTGACGGAAGTGGAGTCCCCGTGATCGGGTCTATCCCGATCGCTGAGATTCCCCCGTCTTCCGGTGGAGGCGAGTTTTCCCTAACCCATTCCTCTGTCCTTTTTCCTCGTTCTTGGGATAGGGAGAGATCTTGTTTCTCCCAGAGCGGTCTTTGGTGGGCTTCGGTATCAAGGGGCTTCCTCTTCTGCTGTTTGGTTTGTTCAACCATTCTGCGCAGCTGCGCGTTCTCCATCCTCAGGAGATGCATCTGGTGTTTCAGTTCGTTTATCTGTTCCACCACTTGCACCTCCGGCGGGTTTTGTGCTTTCAGCGCCAGGATCATTGCGGCCGCGCACATGTCGGCCGCAGCATCTTTCGCCAGTTTTACTAGCGTTCCTTTTACGTTCCCCGATTGTACGGCCACCTTGTATATGTCCGTACTTTTTTCGGAGATCATTGCTTCCAGGTCTAGTACCGGCGCATTCCTGTACTCTTCCTCTTTTTCCTTGATTCTCTCAAGGAACTTCTTGTATGATTTGGTTTGCGCCGGTTTGATGAGAGGGTCCAAAATGCCCTTTTCCTTTTGGATTTTCCTCTCTTCTTCCTCCTTGATTTTCTTTTCTTTCAGGATCTCGTATTCTCCTGTGGTGACTGGTCGGCCTCTTCCCCTCTTTTTTTTTTAAGATGGGGATTATGCTCTCTTCGTCTTGGTCTCCGTCCTCTTGTGGTTCCTCCAGATGGTGTGGTTGTGGTATCTCTCCTTGCTTTTCTATCTCTCTATCAATTCTTCGATTGATTTCGCGGAAGGAGGGTAGTTCCGCCCTCTTTGTGTTGACGCTGCTCTGGTCCAGTTCCAGTTCTGGATCAAAACTGCTGTACTCAGAGGGGGATCCTATCTTTCCTGCCCACCTTGATCTTGAGGGGCTCCTCGACCTATCGGCTTCCGATATGGATGATGCTCCAGTCCTTCCCTTCGTTCTTTTTGCGATGAACGAGCCCTCCGAGGATGTTATACTCGTTTGTGAGTCGACCCTTTCTAGCCTTATTGTGAGCTCTCTCGAGATTCCGAGAGAGCTCTGTAATGGCGAGGTCTCTTGCAAGGCCGCGACAACTTGTGCCATCGTGACCTGTCCCTTCCTGTGAGAGAGAGCTTTCTCACGTTCGTCTTCTTGGTTTGTATTTGTGTTTGTATTCAGTTTCTCCATTTCAATTATCCCACTCTCCCGCTGCGGCTCCGTCCCCCAGGGTATATCCCCACCGGCCAAGGGGTGCCCCGAAACGTGACCGGCCACACCCCAAGGCCGGGCCCCAAGTTCTCCCGGGGAGGGGACATATGTCTTAGGCCGGGGGGATACCGCACCTTGGCCAGACTCCGAGCCCCTTACACACCCGTATGGGATTTGACGCCCACACGGGCTTTCAGGGGTCCCACACTTCCGACAATGTGGGTACTGCAGCGGGCGGCGCCACCCGGGGGGCTCCACGGACGCTTTGGACAGGGTCGCCGCTCCCCGGCCCTGCCCTACACGCCGTGGCGACCAGCATATGTGGGCGCCCCTCTCTGAAGACTTTTAGAGAGGGGCAGGCGCCTCTCCGGTCGGCCGGTTCGGAAGAGGAAACGGTCCCGACCGACCGGGGATATCTACTCTCGCCCCAGGCCCCGTCTCGGAAATGTCCGAGCGGCCCTGGGGCAGGGCGGCCGCGGCACCCTCCGGGCTATGCCCCTTGGGTAACCCCTCCGGGCTATGCCCCTTGGGTAACCGCAGCGCGCCTTCGCCGCCATCCTCGGCCCGGATCCGGAAACGTCCGAGCGGCCCGAGGATGGCAGGCCACAGGGACACTGGGACGAGAGCAAGCTCTCCAACCAGCACCCTGCGACCTCCCTCTCGCCGTCGAGCCCTGCCTCGGAATATGTCCGAGCGGCCTCGACGGCCGATCCGCGTGGTCCCCTTCGGGCAGTGCCCCTTGAATAAACCCTCCGGGCCATGCCCCTCGGGTGACCACGCGTAGCCGTCTGCGCCGACCCAGCCCTGCCTCGGAATACGTCCGAGCGGCCTGGGTGCGGCCTACCCCAGGGACGCTGGGACGGGGACCCAGGCTACCCAGCCTGAAGACCCCCAACCAGCACCCTGAGGCACCTTCCTGTCCTCGGGAACCGTTCCACGAACGGGCCCCGAGGACCGATCAGCATGGCCCCCTCCAGGCAAAGCCCCTTGGGACAACCCTCCGGGCAAAGCCCCTCGGGTGACCATGCTGACCCCTCCGCCGGCGCGACCCCCTCCGGGCAAAGCCCCTCGGAAAACCCTCCGGGCAGAGCCCCTCGGGTAGTCGCGCGCGGCACCTCCGATGCGGCCCCCGCCGATCCTACCCCCCTAGGTATAACCCCAAAGGAGGCCCCCCCCATGACGGAGGGGAGGGAAAAACCCCGGGCGGCGGAAGCCGCCTACCTGACAGGCGTGTCAGGCCACAGAGCATGGTGGGAAGGGAAGCGCCGAAGCGCCGTGCAGTCCCTTCTCCTAACGGTGCCTTGCCACCGGGCGTTTGAATTCCGGGTCGCCATCCCTTACCACATACGAGCCGAAGCTCTAATGGGGAAGTGGGCCCCGTCTCCCCGGGATGCGGAATTCTTCCACACCCCGAGGAGAGCCCCCCGAGACGGAGGGCGTGCCCCCGAGACCGGGGGCAGTGTACCTCGGGAGGTACAGACCGCTCTTGGCACCCCTCGCAAGGCTATTCCCTTGCGAAGGGTGAGCCCCCCCATCACGACAAGGTGGCGGTCCACGGGGGGGAGCAAAGAATCAACCTGCTTCGCTTGCACCTAGATAAAAGCGTGTGAATAAAAATTAGCCAATGAAAGAACTTCTCTAC